ATATTTTCTAAAGTATGTTGTCTTGTTTCATTAGTTTTACGAAATGATTTGATAACAAAAGAATTCTCTTAAGGGCCCTTTAGCACTAAGGTGTTAAAATGCTTCACACGTAACAGTCATCTTTATACTTACAAAGGCGGTCAGTCATTAATAAAAACGAATTTGCTAAATAGAACATGCTTTGCCACGTAAGTCACGTGGTGTTCCTATTTACTACTGAAAATAAGTTCTTTTCAGGGATGTGTTTGACCAAATGGGAAAGTGATTATAACACGAAAGCTACAAACTACAACCCCTCCAGCGAAAGCACCGATTACGGGATATTCCAGATCAACAGCCGCTACTGGTGTAACAACGGCAAAACTCCACATGCAGTGAACGGCTGTGGCATCAACTGCGACGGTAAGACAAGATGACGCTGAGCGGGGGCACGGGGACTGTCCTGTCACGTTTACAAGAACAGACATTCAGAACAAGTGATAAAGCCTTGATGGGGTCACCAGGGACCTAGGAAACCTCCATCTCAACTTCCCGAAGCTCTTTATTACCCTCCTCCTGATTCCTGAAGTAAGAACGTGAAGTGCTCTTATCATGAAAGGTTGCTGTTCTCTAATACACAGAAGTTTCTGGAGGGATCCATCAATTTACTGTGGCTGGACTGTGTGACTCTCTGTGCAGAACTATGCACTCCTCTGACTTACTCTGAGGAGGTTTGGGGATAATTTGGTTGCGTGGCCTTTTATTTTTTTTTTTTCATCCATGGTCCTTTGTTGAAAAAATGAAAGGACTGGTAGTTAACTAATCAAGGAGGAGGAATATGTGTGGTCCTTTGTAAACATTGTTTTTACTTTTTATCATGAAATGTTCTAAATATATAGAAAAATAGAGGAATTTGTATAATACACAGATATATATCCATCATGTACTTTCACAGTTTTTAACTTTTTGTCCTATTTACTTCTGTTATGTGTGTGTGTGTATATATGTATACTTTTTGTTGAGTGATTTTAAAGTGAATTAGAAACACTATGACACTTAATTTCTAAAATCTTTAGGTTACACGTTCAAAATCTAAAGTTCCTATATAATCATAGTCATTCTAACAAGCTAATTTGATTAATTGGGGTGAAGCAAATATTCTATTGGGTTTATCTTAAAATAGAGATAACGTGTGGAATGTCTTTTGCATGAAGTATTGGGGAAATACTGCAAACTTTATATTGTTAGATTTTTAAATCTTAAAATTTCTAATAGAGAAGATTAAGATCTTAGAATATTCTTTTGTATTCAGTTAACTTCTTTTTAAAAATATTTTGTATTATGTAATAATTTATGGTCATTGAATGAAAATTCTTACTACCCAGAGATTTGTGACCACTGGTAACTTGATATACACAAATTCTTTCAGGACATGTATGGAACTTGTCTATGAAGGTAAAGCGATGTCATGCACATATCTACCCACATACAAATGTGCAGGCAATGTGTGTTTTAACAAAAATGATATTGCATTCTATATACTGCTCTATGATTTGTTCTTTATCACATAAAATTATTTTTAAGTCAACAAATACCAATCTGTATTAGTTTTTAAAGATGCCTAGAATTCCACTACATAAATATTCTGTCATTTATCAGTCTAGCTCTTACTGGTAAGCTCTTAGGCTGTTCCCATTTTCCCCTTTATTAATTGCAATGAGACACCTTGTGCATACATCTTTACGTGTGTTTTTGTTATTTCTTTAGGAATATTTTTCCAGTAGTCAAATTGCTGAGCAAAAATATGCTAGGCCAGTTTCTGTTTGTTCATTTGTTTTAGAGTGTTTAGTAAAAAAAAAAAAGAAACATGTATCATATTAGTTAATAATTCCAGAGTTTCCAATGACTTTGGAAAACGAGAAGCAGAATGCTTTATTTCATGCCAAATGGGATGCGGGAAGAAAAACTTTCCCTCAACATTCACAGATACGTAGACTCTTGAAAAGTAATTTTTGTTCTCTCTTCAGCTTAAGAGAATAAAACTGGCTGAAACTAAATTTAAAATGAAATTTCTATGACCATTGTTTTCATTCCTCACTGTCTCTTTTTCAGTTTTGCTGGAAGATAACATCACTGAAGCTGTCAAATGTGCAAAGAGGGTTGTCAGGGACCCTCAAGGCGTTAGAGCATGGTATGTTTTTTTTTTCCTTCCAGTTTTATTGAGATGTAATGGACATACAGCACTGGATAGTTTAAGGTATATGGCATAATGATTTGACTTACATACATCACAGTAGGTTTAGTGAACACCCATCCCCTCAGACTGTTAGAGCAGGCAGACAGCTAGATGTGAGCAGAGAAGCGGGGACACAGGCCAAATGGCAGGACTTGGCAAGAAAAGAAGGGGCCGGGGCCAAATGCAGGAAACCCTACATCATGTAAACAACAGGGGTCCCTGGGCAGAGAAAGAAAAGTAGGAACCTCTGGGCTGATAAGCGGTCACAAATTTAGGTGTGGCAAGCAACCAGGAGGTCCACAAAGAAAGGTGGGAAAAGGCAAGG